GGTGGATCGGTATTTTAAATGCCTTCGAGGACGATCCGTGAATGGATGCTGCTTGACGGTGTTTGGGATTAAAGCTTGGAGAGACTTGGAAAGACTCGATGTGTTTTAGCTCTCGCTCTTCCTTTCCTGCGTAAGGTAAACTCGTATATATAAGTGTTAGTTCGTTGTTTCAGATTTACTTTTCGAAATTTCGAAAAAAAAGTAAAAAGTTAAGGAAGCATCGAAACTTTTCCAAATTTTCTCTTACCCTATAAGTTTGAACGTAGATTTTCTTCTTATTCGATTTTCTTCGAAAAGATAAAAATTTAGAGGCCTTACCACTATTTTCCAAATCTTTTCTCTTGATATTGTAAATAAATTTGAACCTATATTTTATTTTTTGTTTATTTCTCGCCCTTTAAACTTTTCAGACGTATATTCGTTTAATTCGTCAAAAGAAAAAAAAGAAAAGAAAACTCCATTTCTCAACTTCGTATTACGTCTTCTATTATCGATCCTTCATATCTGGATCGAGCTAATCGATAATCAATAATCGCCTTTCATCGCGTGTTTACCGACATACTGTTACGCATCAAGAATCATCGAGCCGAAGATCACGGTACTCGGTGCTTGTTATGTCCGTACGGATCAAACGGAGCGGAACCGTTGGATCGTTTCGCCGATCTATGCATAACCGAGCAGGAACGTTTAAAAGCGCCTCATCTATCTACGATCTCAGTAATGATCGTTACAGTACCGTTACTCTCGGTCAAGGTTCCTGTCGAGATCGAATTGGAATATCACGTCCGCTCACGGTCACCGATCTTCCGCGTCTTTCCACCACCCCTCTCTTTTTCTCTTCCTTTCCCGTCCATGCTTGGAAACAACAATTTGGAAACACCAATTGCGAACGTACTGTTCTGACTCGATGATTTATTTCACGAATAGGTAATTAATAAATTTTTTTTAATTTTAATAAAAAGTAGTTAGTTTTAATAAATTTGCCTTGATAAATTTTTTATTTGGATTTGGATTTACAGATACGTTACAGGATAATGGGTTTTATTTTTTGGGGAGCATTTATCGTGACTGATATGAGAAGTGAGAAGTGACAATGCCATTCTCATTCACGCCAGAAATCAATTGAATATATTGAATTTATAAAAGAATTGTATATTTTATATATAAAAAGAAAAAAAACGACAATGCCAAAATTTGGAAATGAACTGAGTACGTTGGAAATTAATTGAATTTTTTTAATATATCTTTAAACGTTAGTATCTCTTTTTAAATATTCATATACTGATATTGATATTTCTTGCGACAGAGATATAATGTTGTACGATTATTTGGATAAAAGGATCGTAGGAATTTATGTAACGATTGGGTAATATAAATGTAACAACTTTTTAATTACTTATTACATCTTTATTTTTCTGTTAAATTACATGAATTCTATTGTATTACTTGAAATGGTAAATTAATTATGGATGGGTATAGTTATTGAACGATGTAATGATATATTATTAAATTAAAATAGATGGTTATTGATCGTTTTATACGAAGGATTTCATGTTGAAAAGTAGATTTGTGGGATGAATTATTTTTCGTGTCACAGTTTATTGGTTTTATTCGATCGGAATTATGTGCGAGAACCTCTTGAAGAGGTTCTCGTGTAACCACGGTGTGTAAAATAGTATAATAAGACCGATTCCTGTTCTGTCTGACGCAATATCTTGATAAATTGCAGCGCAAGGAGTCGATTAAGATCTTGTCGATAATAAAGTGCCGCGTTTAAATATATAATTAACAAACAAACTCGTTCTTTTAACTTTGGATCTCTCCTTTTTCATCTCTCGTGTGAAAGTACCGTTCACCAACTTCACATTGTACCACTTTGGAGAACACCGAAATATCAATGTTTTATGCAATAGTCTGTTAAGAAAAATATTTGCATAATTGCGATAATTTTAATTATAATTAATTAATTATAATATATCTAAATTCAAAATTCTCACATTCGAAACTTCGAATCCTGTTTATCAACATTTTCTCCAGCAATATCGTATTTTATGTTATCTCAAATCTTCAATAAAATCACCTATCAAATCAATTCCTCTTCTCTTATCCATCTCATTATCCTGAAATCCTCTAAAAAGAATCATCATTCCCATTGATCCATCGATCCACGTTCCTTTATTCTATATCGGGTATCTTAACTTTATTACCAAAAAAATCTCGTTTGTTTTTAGAAATATTAAAAAATTTTTCAGATAAAAATTGAATGATTTCAAATGGGGATGATGTGATTAATTTCATAAGCGGTATAAAGTTCATATTATTCTCTATAAAAAAAATACAAAAAAACTAAAAAAAATATTAGATTATCTATAATTTGAAACCATATATAATTTTTATCTGAAACATTTTCTAATATTATTAAGAACAAACGAGATATTGCAAGTAATAAAGTTATATGAGATATACCCTATATCCTTTAGAATTAAGAAAAATGTCTAAAAATGACAAAAAAATACTTTGGCATAAGGTAAGTATATAACAGGTAAGTATATAAAAGGTAAGTATATAAAAGGTAAGTAAAAAAAAAGAGGTAAGTATTAAATTTCCAAAAATTTCACGTGCCACCTCTTCTTAAATTATATTCGCCTGATAAAAAGTTGAAAAATTTGCCAAAAACTTTTTACTATCTAAAATTTCGACTTTGTATTAGGAGAATATAATTCGACAGGAGGTGGCACGTGAAATTTTTCTTAATATCTCAAATCTGAAAATTTTTGCCGAAATTTCGACTTTGTATTAGGAGAATATAATTCGACAGGAGGTGGCACGTGAAATTTTTCTAAAAATGTCAAATCTGAAAATTTTTGCCGAAANAAAATTTTTGACGAAATTTCCACTTTGTATTAGGAGAATATAATTCGACAGGAGGTGGCACGTGAAATTTTTCTATAAATGTCAAATCTGAAAATTTTTCCCGAAATTTCGACTTTGTATTAGGAGAATATAATTCGACAGGAGGTGGCACGTGAAATTTTTCTCAAAATCTCAAATCTAAAAATTTTTGCCGAAATTTCCACTTTGTATTAGGAGAATATAATTCGACAGGAGGTAGCACTTGAAATTTTTTTAAAAATTGCAAGTCAAAATTTTTTGGTCAATTTTTCAACTTTGTATTAGGAGACTATAATCCTGGAAGAAGTGGCACATGAAATTTTATATACTTAACTACTTACCTGTATACTTACCTGTATACTTACCTGTATACTGTTACAGCTGCTATTTGTTTTCATTTTTTAAACAGTTTACTTAATTCTAAGGATACTTACCTTTTATGATAAAAATTCAATTTTATATCTGGAATATTTCGCTTATTTTTCATAATATTAAAAAATATTTTAGATAAGAATTGTATAGTTTCAAACTATATTTTGGTAGTAATAAGTTTTTCATAGGTATTCGTATAAAGAATATGTGAAGATTATCTTTGTTTTTTTAAATGGAATCATGTTTTTTAATTCATGAGATGAATTTTGACATTTTTTATAAAAAAATACTGGCCATGTATGTTGAGAAATAATTAGTTTACGAAATATTTAATAATAATTAAATATTTACGAAACTAATCACTCTTTGTTATAAATGGTTAAATATTTTTTTATAAAAAATAATGTACTGCTTATGCATTAAAAAACAGTTCTATTTAAAAAAACAAAATTAATTTTCATACAATCTTTATATATTCGCCTATGAAATTAATCTTATACACCATTCGAAACCATCCAATTTTTATCTGAAAAATTTTTTAATATTTCCAAAAATAAACGAGACATTCGAGATGATAAAATTACGTGGAACACCCAGTATATAATACAGTTTAATATTTCCAATCCAAAAGCCAAACCTAATCCAAACCGAAACCCAATTTCGCGAGCGTCAATCAAACTTCGATACTTCTGCAACACAAAATGGAGAACGATCAATCTAACTCGATTCGTAACGAAAAAGAAATAAAAAAAAAAGAGGAAAAAAAAAAGAAAAAAAAAGAAAAAAAAGGAAAGATTGCGAGCAAAAGATGGCGAATAAAAGACAAAGAAATCCGCGTGGAGAGACGATCGTGGCGCGAGGTCGTGGCACACGCTCGAGGGATATGAACGAGCGAATAGGTTGAGGGTCGTGAGTGGCCGTTGACCCTGCGTGTGTACCTGCGCGAAGCGGAGTGGCGAGTGTTCGTACCGACCACCTAGACAGGCTAGAGTCCACATTGGTAATAGCTTCTCTAGACTACCGACCTTCCACTCGTAAAAACAAATATTTATGGACACCGCACTGGCCGGTGAAGAACGTCGCCCGAGCCCTTGAGCGCTCGAACGTTTCATGCGGTTGGGACAGGTGTGGATTGTTAATTGGTCGCTGAACCAAAGTTTATTTTGGGACATTGCCAAACTGTGGTTAGTGGAGAAAAATAATATTTAAGAAGAAACATAGTGGATTAGAGAAGCTAATTGGAGATTAGTAGTTCTAAAAGAAGATTTGACATTTTAAGTTTATAGGTTATGTCTTGGAATAAATCTTTTATTTCTAATATTATTCTTCGATATTTCAACGTAAGAGATTATATCATAAATTATAATTTCGATAAAGAGATTATATCAAAATGTAAATCAAAATGTACATCAAATTGATGATCAATCTGTAATCACAAATTTCCTAGAACGTGTAATTCAATCAAACGATCGATGTTTAATCATAATCAATCTCTATGTACCAATCAAGACAAACTTAATCGCATGTTTATCATCTCGATAAAACTATCTCGATTTTTGAAGCCTTGAATAATCCTTGACGTTATTATCTATGATATATATGATTGCTTATATGATTGCTTCTTTTTGATCGATCATCGACACGTTTCTACATGGATCTCTAACGTCTACGATCTATTGTTGCATCTCGAAGATCTTACGCTAATTATATCACTTGTCCATACTTTTTTGTTGCAGTATCCGGCCAGTGCATCCAGTGAACTTTTGCCAGAGAACAGATCTAATACTAGTTCCTTACCACCTGGTACTCTACCATCGAGCGCGGAAAATATTTCATCAGCTGCGAAGGATCTGTTGAAACGACTGCTACAACCGGATCCTTGCTTGAGGTTGAGGTCTCTGTTAAGTCTACAGAGGATTGCTTTCTACATGGGTTACGATTTGCACAGTTATATGCAAAAGAAGGTATGAAAATTTTATTGAATCTTTAATCTGTAATTTAATGAATTTTTTGAGTCCATGTTTTCTTCTAATTCTCAAAAGCTTTTCAAATTTTTGATTAACGTGACGTATTGTAATAAACAATGATTTTGTTTTATGTTTTAAGAAATTAATTTGTATGATTTTTGACGCAAAATGAAAAAGGTTTAAAGAATTTTTCGAATAACTTATTTTTTATATTTTTATACAGGAATCTCCGTTCCGTCTGCTAGGACGAAAAGTCGAAATTGAGCAGGAGAGAAGGATCAAAGAATTCTCCACGTTCAATTCCTCTTTGGCAGACAGTATATCTCGTGGCGAAGATCGATGATCTGATCAATGTGATTGTTATTAACAACATTGTCTTTAGTCAGCTAATGCCATATTGATTTTGGCAAAAAAAAATGTTCCCTAGTTATTTTTTTATTTTATTGTACGTTAGCTTGTTGCTCATCGTAGATTTATATCGAGCAACGTCGTCGATGCCATCCATTATTTTTTAAGCGAATCAACTTAACATGGATTTTTAAACTCTCTATAGATTACGTTATAATTCGAAGGTATATTTTTTAATATAACTTGTTGTATAAAATACGAATCTCTTTATCCTCTGGTGCTATTTTTTGAAGAAAATTGTTGCGAAGAAGAATTCAGAGGTTTTTTTATCATATATTTTTTAAGAATAAATTGCGAAGCTTTTGTACCGTGAAAGAAAAATGTTTAATGTGTCAATGTGCGATTGTAGCTTCTGTGTGCAATGTTGTACTGCTTTATACCCCATCGTGGTGATAATGCATCGTGTGAAAATAAAAATAAACACATGAAAGTAAAATGTATCCAATTATAATATAAAAATAAAAATATCTTTATGAATGTGCAATTTCTCGAGTTTTTATCTTTTATCCCTACCTTTTACACCAGAAAGTTGCTCGACAACTTAATGAATCCTATTGGAATTATGTTTCAGGAATATATCGTGAGAAATTCGCGGTTGGTCTCAGTTTACAAAAGTTTTAATTTTTTTAAGAATAGTTAACAGTATTTTTGTTACAGTATTTCATCGATAATACAATAAATTGCGATAAATCGTAGTGCGTACAAACTAACAACAAAAAACAAAACGAATCTGGATCGAAAAACGCAGCGTCTTTTTTTTTTCTCATCTTCTTCATCTTATTCGTTTCTTCTCTTTTTGAAATCAATCGTGGGAACAATTTCTTTTTCTTTTTTTTTTTTTATCGTTTCATTTTTCTTCCCCATTGTATCCATGAATGTACGTTTTATCTTTTTTTTTTTTTTAAATCTTTCTTTTTTTGAAGATTTGTTGCTTCGTCTTCGTTCATTTTCGTGCGTTTCAATTTTTCAATTTTTTCGCTTTTTGTTCCTTCTTCATAGACGTTGGGAGCGGGAGACAGTTCCTTTTCCCCGGAGTGCAATCAATCGAAGTTTTTATGGTATAATAATAATTATATATACATTATTATTCTTACACTTAGAGGGTTTCTCGATATATAATACAACGCATTCCTTCATATTACGTCCCGAATGACGCGTCAGCAAGCGATCACTGGTCGAATGTTTCTTTCTCACGCTTGAATAAAACACAAATATATAAATAAAAAAAAAAAAAAGAGAAAGGTACAACATTATTAAAAAAAAAAAACAATAAATCTTCGACAAAAACATCCCTCAAAAATAATACAATTCATTGTAATTCGAAGGATCATAACAAATCTTTGTTCAAATAACATTTTTAAAAGAAACAATTTAAAAAAAAAAAAATAAAATTCGTCTCTCAAAATATAAAATTTAAAAATTTAAAGAAAATGTATAATCGCGTTTTATCATTCATCCGATTCACGCGACGAATTTGTTTTAAACAATAATAAATATAGGTATACGATAATTTTATCAACAACCAATACACGTATATAAATACACAGACAAGTCGATTAAAAAAACTCAATGTTCGATTAAAAGGAAATAAAATATATAATTAAAATGTTTCATGCTTAAAATCAATGAGATCGTTACAATTTTCGACGTGCCAGAGATCGTTCGCGGGACGCGTCCGCGTTTTACAAAATTCGCCATCCGCGAAAAGCCGACGAAAATACACGTTGTCGCCATATTATTTATTTTCCTCGACATAAAACCGAGCCCTTCGAGGAGGCACGGTTAATCGCCGGCTGGACTTCGCGCACTCGACTTCGTTTACAAAATCGAAACGAAATTCAATAATTACGTCTATTTTTTTTTCTTTTTTTTTTTATATAACTGCTTCCACTCCGCGAATCGCGGAGTCGTTTTGGTAAAAATCCTTTGGGCTAGCCGCAGACACTGGTCTCGCGCCATTTTGTTCTCTTTTGTTTCGTCTCTTCGTCTATATTTCTTCTCCTCTAACTCTATTTTCCACCACAGAAGAGGGAAGAGACCATTTCAGGTTCTTCTCGTTTTTTTGCTACTTTTTTTTTTTTTTTAAATTGTTCAAAAATCCGTCCGGTGAATAAATTGTTTCGTTGGAGAGATCAAGGTTGAGCAGAAGTAAGAAGGAAAATCGCGAGACCAGCGACCGAAAGCCGTGAAAAGCCCGTTCGTAGCTACGAGGGTGCTTCTCTTAGCGATCACAATCGATCACTAAATCGGTTTGCTCGTCGCACGTGATTAATCGGCATACATACGCTCGCATTCTCTCGCTCTTTCATTCCGTTTCACGCTCCCTTAAATTACGAGTTATCTTATTGTTGTTACTGTTTTCTTCGTTATTGTTTAATTATAGCGCATTATCGTAAGAGATTATGATACAAGTAGAATCGGCCGTGTTTGCCACGGCCACCGCGACAATTTCTTTTTACAGCCTCACTTCATTTCCCCCTCTTTTAGTTCCTCGCTGTGCAGATGGCGCCCTCGAGTTAACACGCTCCGCGCAGATTCTCTCAAGTTTGAATTCATTTGGCAAACGATGCCAAATTTGAATAGTTGTCGATTTAATTAATATTCAACTTAGATACTTTTTTTTCTTATTCTTTTTCAATCGAGATATGGTTATTAGACGAGAAATTTAAAGCGACATGATTAAGGATTTTATCTTTAGAATTCTTTGAAAAAATTGACGAATAATTTATAAATTTATAAATTTTAAAATAGCCAATATCCCTTATAATTCTTCCTTTTTTCCAAATATTTTTTATATCTTTTCATACAAATACTTTCACCAACAAATCGATGGCAAAGCTTTAAACGGCAAAGCTTTTCGAAACCAATTACTTAATTTACACACACGCACGCACGTTGTTACACGTTGTATTGTTATTAGAATAGATTATCGCAAATATTAGCGGAGCGTGAAGAAATCGAGGATACCTGTAAAAGAGCAAATCGAAATTGCACAAATGGCAAAGATGGCGGAAAGCAAAAAAGTCAATGGCGAATTTCGATGGATCGATCGATCGATCGTGGCAGAGACATTCGTTAATATGAGAGGAGGATAATCTTCGTTGCGAGAGGGGAATAATCTGCATTTTCGGTTTGCTCTGGGAAAACGTGGGAACGTTCTCGTTCGATCATCGCGAACGATCGACACGAAAAGTGACGCTTGTCAGCGCTGACAAATTATCTTTTCATCGCGCCTCTCCTACGCAAATCATGCTAGATAATAATAATAATATTAATAATAATAGAATAATAATTAGAGAATCATAATAATTCGAATATAATAATAATATAATAATAAAAATAATAATAATCACGCAGACTGGACAGGGCGCGGCGAAAATATCCAACAATTGTTCATCCGGTTCGCTTTTACGCAAAAAATTTTTTTTTCCCTTCTTCTTGTTTCTTTCTTATTTTTTCTTTTTTTTTTTGTACACAAAATACCAACTATCTGTGCTGGAAAACGCACATACTGCTTGTACGCCTCGATATAATAATATATATATATATCTATGTATATATGTATAATATTTATATATGTATATGGTGTGTATCGCTCGCGTTTAGGGCGTCATTTTTCTTCATCATCTTTTTTTTTTATCCTCGTTTATCTAATATCAAATATTTATAAGTATATTCACTCGTTCTGCCATGCGTAATATCGTTTAGCGTGTAGCGTGGTTCACTACTGCGATGTGTTTTACAATGCGCTCTCTTTTTTATCTTTGAATCTTTTTTTCCTTTTTTTTTTTTTTTTTTTTTAAATCATTCGTCACGCCTAAAAAATCGCCTCGTCTCTTCTCTCCGTTTAATTATTTACAATCGTTTATATTTATTTAAATCGTTATATGTTTCGCTTTTCGTGTTTTGTACACGTCGCTCCTAAATCATCCGTCCTCGAGAGTGGTTCCTCTACGACGAAAATGGTAGAAAAATTATTCGGGGAAAGAAAGAAAGAAAAAAAAATATATATATATATATAAACAAAAAACAAAAAAAAAAAAAAAGAAAAAAATAGAAGAAAAAAGTAAAGAAAGGAAAATGAGAAAAATCGTCGTCGAGTAGAATTTCACATTTGTTCCATGCTCTCTCCTCGACTTTTTTCCCCATTTTCAACTCTCGTCCTCATCCTCCTCCTCCTCCTCTTCAAAAAAAAAAAATTTCGTTTTCAACTCTCTAAAATACTATCGACCTTTTACGTTGCTCTTTCGCTCTTCACTCTCGTGCATTTTCTCCACTATTCTCGAATATAATTAAAACACTCTCACGCATACGGTGCACACATCAACACGCATCAGGCAATCCGGAAATTAATGGATATATTTGTTCGACTACACGGTAGCCACAGCGCTCGACCAATGGAACGAGAGAGACGCTTCATCTCCCTATCTTACATTGTTCCTTTAATCACCTGCGTCTCCGTGGTTCTAGCTTAGAGAAGGTCTTCGTATTCCACCCTACTTCTCCCTTTCTCAATCGTCCTCCCCTATCTGCCCGACACCTTCTCGATCGCGAAGTTGAAAAATTCTTTTTTATTTTTTTTTCTTACTCCATTTTTCTTTTTTTTTTGTTTGTTTCCTTTTTTTCTTTTTTTAAATTTTCTTTGCTTCTTTGCTTTGCTTATAGTATCGAACAACTGAGTTCACCTACGGGTTTACGAGAGAGATCGATCATCCGATCCTCTCACCCCATTGGACGACCGTTAAAACTAAATTACTATTTTAGAAGGATAGAATCGACACGCCGTTACGTCCGCAGCGGGAAACTCGTCCGATTAAATTTTCCGATATCGATGAAGATTCGTTCGAGGATCGAGATGCAAATATTTGGAAAATGTTAAGGAATTTTCAAGAATTAGGAAATTCTTGAAAATTTTCTCGACGAGAAAAATTGGATAAATGGAGGAGTATAAGCTACTTTACTGCTTATCTTCTTTTATTAATTTTTCACAATTTTTTGTTGAATCTTCTTTGCGACTTTAATATCTTTTTATCTTTGAATTAATTTAAAAGAAAAATGTATAAAATAGAAATGGTATGGTACGAGTTTCAGTAAATTACAATTAAAAAAATCGTTTTTTTAATAACTTTGCTTTCGAAGTATTTCAGTTAAGACTTCGATTCTTTTTTTTATATTATTATTATTATTTCTCGATCACGACGAAGTTCATCGAAACAGAAGATATCGACGAGTTCCCCATTTTCGATTTGGTTTCGACGCGAATTTACGCGAGCTTTATGACGATCACATGCTGCAGAGACAGGAAGCTTCGAGGGGAGGGGCATTAAGCGTGCAAGACATCGAAACACGTTTCGATTCTCTCATTTTTTTTTTTTCTCCTCTTTCGTAAGAAAACGCTTTCTTTTGATCTAATCCAATTAATTACAATGTCTACGTGTTTTACTAATCAAATCACCGGATTCTCTCTCTCTACTCTACTCGATC